CCATGCTCATGGATAGGCAAGACTAACATAGTAAAAATGGCAATTTTACCAAAAGCAATCTACAAGTTCAATGCAATCCCTATCAAAATACCAACACACTTCTTCACAGACCTAGAAAGAATAATACTCAACTTCATATGGAAAAACAAAAAACCCAGGATAGCCAAAAGAATCCTGTACAATAAAACAACCTCTGGAGGCATCATAATCCCTGACTTCAAGCTCTACTATAGAGCTACAGTAATAAAAACAGCTTGGTACTGGCATAAAAACCGACATGTGGACCAATGGAATTGAACTGAAGACCTTGACATTAATCCGCACACCTAAGAACACATAATTTTTGACAAAGAAGCCAAAAGTGTACAATGGAAAAAAGAAAGCATCTTCAACAAATGGTGCTGGCATAACTGGATAACAATGTATAGAAGGCTGCAAATAGATACATATCTGTCACCATGCACAAAACTTAAGTCTAAGTGGATCAAAGACCTCAACATAAATCCAGCAACTCTGAACCTGCTAGAAGAGAAATTAGGAAGTAGTCTTGAACGAATTGGCATAGGAGATCACTTCCTAAATATAACACCAGTAGCACAGACACTGAGAGAAACAATCACTGGGACCTCTTGAAAGTGAGGAGCTTTTGTAGAACAAAGGATATGGTCAACAAGGCAAAGGACAGCCTACATAATAGGAAAAGTTCTTCACCATCCCCACATCTGAGGATATCTGAGAGGAGTTTCGGTGAGTGTCCGGTGATGATGGTGTGTCAGAAGCCAGAGGCCTTGAACCAGACCAACAACTCATTGCAATGAACATTTGTAAATAAAGCTGAGTGGACAAAAGAGTATTCTGCATGACACACTGCAGCTCCTAATGCCACCAAGACAAATGAAGAGGCTTTGGGGAGGCAGAGAAGATGGAGGAGTGAAGTGGTTTTATTTTTTATTTATTTATTTTTTTAAATTAATATTAAAAAAAATTTCTTTAGGGGGGGACACTACGGGGATGAGGGGCAGATATGGAGGGACTGGGAAATGAGCAGGATTGGGGTGCATGATGTAAAATTCCCAAAGAATCAATAAAAAGTTATGTTAAAAAAAGATAACAACAACAACAACCAAACCATGGAGTCTGTTTTGTGTTGGCCAGCTGTTCCGGGGTGGGGCATGGGGTCTGCCCTGGAATGGAGTTGCAGTGATACTCCAATGGAGAAAACTAATTCCCCGCCCCCCCCCAACGGAGTTATCAGTTACAGAGTTTCTTGTTTAGGGGTGGGGCTTTGTGTTCCCTTCCCTCCTCTGTGGTGGGATTTTGTCTGGCTTGAACATGTGTGTTTTTTCTTCTTTGTCTTTTGTTTGTTTGTTTGGTTTTATTTCTCTTTTTTTTTGAGAGAGAGAAAGAGAGAAGATGAGGTTGGGTAGGTAGGGTGGTGGTAGTTGGTGGAGGGGAAAGAATATGATCAATGTTTATTGTATGGAATGTACCTTTTTTCACTTTTTATTGATTCGTTGTGGATTTCACATCATGCATCCCAATCCTATTCATCTCTCATCCCTTTGTACCTGTCCTTTCTCTGCCCTTGCAACTTCCCCCACAAAAAAGGGCCACACTTAGGGCCAGCTCACCCCTGTCCACACCACTGGGGCCCACTCTACTGTCTTGCCCAGGTGAAGTGCAGGGCCCACTCTCTTGCTCTCATGCTACAGCTGGTGATGGGCAGGGCCAGCTCTCTTGCTCTCATGCCTCTGTGGCCAGCTCTTCCAAGCTGCATCTTCCCCTCACCCACACCACTACATGGCAGATGAAGGAGGGTGGGTACAGCTCTCCCACTCTTACACCCTGAGGGTTGACTTACCTGTCCTCACACCAACAGGATCAGCTCTACTGTGCTGCCCAGGTGAGGTGCAGGGCCTGCTCTTTCAAGTGCTGCAGCTTGAGAGGGGCAGGACCAGCTCTCCTATCTGCTGCAGGTGTCAAGGAGGAACTGGGGGAAGATGAATTGTATTTTTTAAAAATTTAAAAAAAATTCCATTTTTGTTTAACATGAAAGTATACTGATATGATGTTTCTTTCTTGGTAATGCACTATAATCCCTTTCCATTAGTATAGTATAACTTCCTAATATTAGACCTTTAGAGGCACATACTTAAGGGGTACACATAGAGAAAAGAAAGTATTTGCTTGAGTGAAATTGTCTAAGAATAATGCCACACTTCATATGATGTTACTGTTAGTGTCGTGGATTTATCATGGTGTTGTTTAATTTATCATGGCATGCATGTTTTAAACAATATTCTAATAATTGCAGAATTGATTTATTTCTCATCTATGTATGTATGTATGCATGCATTCATGTATGTATGTATGTATCATCTATCTACCATTTCTATCTATCATCTATCTGTATCTCTCATCTAAGGTCTTTCAGTCTATCTATCTATCTATCTATCTATCTATCTATCTATCTATCTATCTATCTATCTATTTATCTATCTATGTCTCATCTGTCATCTATCTATTCCTCCCAGTACTGAGGACTGAACTTAGAATCTCATATATACTAGTCAAGTACTCTACCACTGAGCTAGATCTTTAGTGGGACTGGTTCTCTTAAATGCTTCAAGGAAGAGTTGTAGGAAGTAAAACTGGATCCATGACTTTGCAAGTGTTGCCTCTCTTAGTCTTCTAGATGTTTGTACCTCAAATTATATTTTAAAAATACTTATTTTGGAAGAACAGTAAAAGTAAGGGTCAAAGTCACTCTTTCTTATTTGGTTTTCCTTGTTTTGGAACTCTCCTGTGGAAGCACCTGCAAAAAAAAAAAAAAAGGTTTGAAGATGATTTCTACAGCACCTAGCCAATAATGTGAAATGAAATAACTATGCAGAACATTTTCCCAACTCAGTAATGTAATTTTTCTGTAATAGATCATCTTAGTTTATTTTTATTTACTTATTTATTTTTTGCTTTTTTGGGACAGGGTTTCTCTCTGTAGTTTTGGTGCCTGTCCTGGATCTCACACTGTAGCCCAGGATGGTCTTGAACTCATAGAGATCTGCCTGGCTTTGCCTCTTGCATGCTGGGATTAAAGGCATGCGCTACCACCACCCAGCTTCTTAGTTTATTTTTATAAATTATTATTTTAAACGAATATATTAATAGATCATAGTACATAATTTCACACACACACACACACACACACACACACACACACACACACACACAGAGGAACATAGTGGGTAAATCAGGGAAATTAGCTTGTCTACCTGTGATGATTAACTTTCTTGTCAGTTTGCCTGGATTTAGAACCACCTAGGAAATACACCTCTCAGTATGTCTAAGGAAGTATTTATAGAGAAGTTTAGCTGAAATCAAAAGCCCCACCTTGAATGTAGATAGTTTTATGTTTTATGGTTGGCATCTTGGTCTGAATAAAAAGGATAAAATGAGAAAGCAGGTGGAGAATTGGCTCATCTGTTCTTCCTGATTATGGATATTACATGACCAACCTTCTTAAGCTCTTGTAGTCATGATTTCCAAGGTACTACAGACTAGACCCTTCAACTGTGAGTCAAAGAAACCCTCCACTCCTTAAATTGCTTTTGTCTAGTATTATGCCATCTCCTTAAAAATGTACATCTTTGTATATTTTTAGAAAAATGTTTTCTAGTAAAAACATTTTTCTTCCCTAGTAAAACCCAACTCCAGTGTCTTGGCCAATTTTTTTGAATCATGAGACATTCTGCAGTCACACTGGACAAGCGAGTTTATGTTGTCTTTATTTAATCTCCTGATGTGCCGTTGCATTCTAAATAATTTCAGGTGACTGGAGAAATTATAGGTGGATAAAATAAAGCGAAAGATTCAAGGAAATAAAAGCCCAATACACCCAGAATATCAAATTTAAGACAAACAAAAGGAATATTTCCACTTTCAAGTTTTTCTCCCTCTTTTTCATCATCATTAGTTGTTTTTGACAGTTTTGTTTTCTTTAACCTAAATAATAAATGTTTCTTTCTTTTAAAATAAATATGTGCATGTATGTGTGTCTGTAAGTGTGTCAGTGCATGTGAGTGTGGTGCTTGTGGAAGTCAGAAGAGGGTGCTAATCCTTTGGAATTTACAGACACCTCTGGATTTACAGACAGCTGTTAGTCAACACACGTGGGTGTTGGGAACATAACTAGGGTTCTCTGGAAGAGCAGAAAGTGTTCTTAACTTTGGACCTAGTTCTCCAGCTCCTAAATTATCTTAAGTCTATTAATTTCCTAGTGGTAATTAGCCTGGGGTAGTGAGAAAAACTTTGCTAATCAGCTTTATAGAGATTTTAAAGTTTTGAGAAGTTAGTATCTTCAAAGTATTTGTCACAGACAAACAAAACAACTAATTTAGGTTGGGCACTGCCTTTTATCTATCTGATTCTTAGATCTTTTATAGGAAATCTGATGGTCGGGTGTGGTCGCACACACCTTTGAATTCCAGCACTCAGCAGAGTTCCAGGCTAGTCAGAGCTACATAGTGAGACCCTGCCTCCAACTAAACAACCAAGCAGCCAAGCAACAAAAAAGCCAAATCAACCAAACCAACCACTTCTCCCCAAAACACCTAGACTAAACCAAACAAAAAAAATCAATACCTATAGATTCTGAATGCAAGGGTGAGAAACTGCCTGAAAACAAGAAAAGTATAGAGTGAATAAAGGTTGCTCAGGGTGGGGCCAATGGAGGTGTATTCAAAAAGGTTAAGCATGTATGTGGTCTCTTACTTTGCCTTAGAGAGAATCCTTCTTCCTCTCTGTCCAGAAGGTAGTCACACTAGCTTCAGCATTGAGAAAGTCATTCATCATCCTGGTAAGAGGGATGATCAAATTGAATGAGAAAACATTAGCAGATGTCAGCATGAGCTGACAAAAATTTTAAAATTGCCACAATCAGGATGATTCAAAGAATGATTATAAACAGGCCTCATATAAATGAAATGAAAATAATCAAAGATCTCCATCTCCCTGTTTCTTCTCATACTGCCATGGTATCATTTTACTCACTGGATTTAAAATTAAAAGGCATTATGCATTAAATTACATTACAGATTTAGTAGGTTTTTTCTGGAGGGACCCCAGGCCTAGTTTCAAATTGTTTCTCTTCTTTTAATTTTTATTAGTGTATATTCATTATACAAAAAATGTGTGGTGTTGGGATTTTCATAGATGTATGCCATGTGCTATAATCATATTCACTCCCCATGATTCTCCATTCTTTGCTCCCCATGGTTGCTCTTTTCTTCTGGAATAGTTCCCTTTCTACTTTCTTATTACACATACATAACATATCCTCTGTGTGTGAGATAGAACATAGAGGATTGCCTGAGTCTGGCTTATTTCACTTAACATCATGCTCTCTGGTTGCATTCATTTCCCTGAAAATGCCATCATCTCCTTCTTTGTCTTGGAGTAACAGCATTGCATTGTGCAGACATGCTACCAAGATTGACACTCCTCACTGATGGTCGGAGACCTGCCTGTCATGGGGTTTATCGGCAGAGACCAACTATGTTATCCAATGAATTAAAAGGCAAATTTTAAGTCATGAGTCTTTCCATATAGAGGTTCAATAGCAACATGGTTAGATAACATGTTAAATAGAAAATATCTTGGGATCCAGAATTTTGGAGTAGGGCCTCCTTTAAAATGAGTAAAGGAACCCTTTTATATGACAAATGTATAGAAAGCATAGATATGGTGATATTTTATTTGTACTGAAATGTGATTTTATTTGTATGTTAGTAAATAAAGTTGCCTGGGGGTCAGAGCTAATAGCAAGCCATAGCAGAAGTCTGGCAGTGGTAGCACACGCCCTTAATCCCGATCACATGACAGGCAGATCTCTGTGTGTTCAAGGATACCACCAGCATGGAGACACATGCCTTCAATCTCAGTACCAACCATAGAAGACCTGGAGGTCTGTACAGACAGACAGTGACGAGGAGGTCATGTGGTTGGGTTTACAACCAATGAGAAGGCAGAATAGAAAGTCAATAAAAAGCACAAACACACAGGAAGTAGGTCTCTTGCGGAGAGGTAGGACAGCAGTGGCAGTGAAGGGTAAGAAAGGGTTTTTAATCTCAACTCTTAGCTACTGCTCTGACCTCTTGGCTTTTAACTCTATATTTGGCTCTGTGTTTCTTATTTAACAAGACAGTTACATCTACACATAGAGAAACACACGCACATACCTATAAGGCTTATTATTATTATTTTTGATACTACATTGCTAAAAAAAAAACAATTTTGTTTTAAGTAAAATATGCCATGACAGAGAACAGCCATCATTTTGTTCTTTCTTTTTCTTTCTTATCGTTTTCTCTTACCTCCTCCCTCCCCTTGTTCTTCTTTCTTCTTTTCTTTCAAGGAAAAAGAAGTGACACCATTTTCTTTTTTTTTTTTTCTTTTTTGGAGTTAACTTTCTTTTTTTTCTTTTTATTATTGTTATTATTATTTTATTTTACAATAATATTCAGTTCTACATTACAGCCACAGATTCCCTTGTTCTCCCCCTTCCTGCTCTCCTCCCCTTCCCCCCAGCCCACCTCCCATTCCCATCTCCTCCAGAGCAAGGCCTCCCCCAAGGACTGAGATCGACCTGTTAGACTCAGTCCAGGCAGGTCCAGTCCCCTCCTCCCAGACTGAGCCAAGCGTCCCTGCATAAGCCCCAGGTTTCAAACAGCTAACTCATGCAATGAGCACAGGACCTGGTACCACTGCCTAGAGGCCTCCCAAACAGATCAAGCCAATCAACTGTCTCACCTATTCAGGGGACCTGATTCAGTTGGGGGCCCCTCAGCCTTTGGTTCATGGTTCATAGTTCATGTGTTTCCATTCGTTTGGCTATTTGTCCCTGTGCTTTATCCAACCTTGGTTTCATCAATTCTCGCTCATATAAACCCTCCTCTTTCTCGATAATTAGACTCCCGGCGCTCCACCCGGGGCCTAGCTGTGGATGTCTGCATCCAGATTCCTCAGTCCTTGGATGGGCTGAGTTCTGGCACAACTATTAGGGTGTTTGGCCATCCCATCACCAGGTACCAGGTGACACCATTTTCTTAATGTTTCCTTAGATCCTGGGACCAGCTTGTTGGTGTGTTGGTGTGTGTGTGTGTGTGTGTGTGTGTGTGTGTGTGTGTGTGTGTAGTGTATATGTGTGTGGAGTGTGTATGTATGTGTGTGTGGTATGTGGGTGTGTGTGGGTGTGTGTGGTGTATGTGTGTTTGGTGTGTGTGTGTGTGTGTGTGTGTGTGTAGTGTATATGTGTGTAGAGTGTGTTTGTATGTGTGTGTGGTATGTGGGTGTGTGTGGTGTATGTGTGTTTGGTGTGTGTGTGTATGTGTGCAGCTCCACAAGTGCCTTTTTTTGTCCAGAATCAGGACTGTGGGCCCACGATATAGTACACCATTATATTGAAATTCACTGACTTTATAAGTGTTATTTTAAGTTTTACTCATTGTTATTCTTTTTTTTTTTTAATAAAACACCTAGTGGAGGGTCAAGGAGGTGGCTCAAGAGGGTAAAGGCACTTATCACCAAGCCTGATGATCTGAGTTCAATTCCTGGGATCCACAAGGTGAAAGGAGAGAACTGACTCCCACAAGTTGCCTTCTGCTTTCCATACACATTGTGGCATACACCCACCCATGTACAAAATAATTAAATAAATGAAATAAATTACCTAAATTAATTTTGTTACAGTTTTTGTCCTGATTATATCATGACCTCCCTCCTGACTTTTTTGCTTGAATTTTACAGTGATAGAATGAAAAGCAATAACGAAGAAAGTTGTAGAACAGAAAATACCATCACTTCTGTGGCCTTAGAGTCATTTACCAAAACACACTTTCTTAGAGTATAAGATTACTATGAAACTTACTAAGTGAATTCCACTAGAACATAAACAATCTTTTTGTCTTGCATATCTAAGAAACCCAAATATGTAATTAGTCAGATCCATGTAGTTTCAAAATGGGAGCATTTCAAACCGAATAGAAGAAAGGCGTTTTCATGAATAATGGGTGTGTACAATTTTGGTTTCTTTCAGCATCAAGCCAACCATGGAGAAGCAGTCCCAGGGTATACCTTGGCCTTTACACTAGTTAACTCCTTGGATACCAGTGTTTTCTTGGCTTTGGGTCAAATTTGAGATTAAGAAAGGGAACAGGTTTTTCAGTAATTATTCAGGAAATCAGACATTATCATGTGAAGTTTGGTGTTGTTTGGAACTGAGTTATTTAGAGATGAATTATCTGTGTTATTTCTTTGCATATTGTCTTTATTGTCTTGAAATGTTCTCAGGCTCTCAAAGGCCACAATGTTGAGATAATGATTGACAAGACACCCAAGCTTTTAAAAATGTATTTTGTATGTAGATTTTTAGATAGGTAATAATTTTCATATGTTTTGAACTGGTTGACACAATTCACAATTAAAAAAAATCACTAAGACAGGCTGGGGAGATGGCTCAGTTTTTAAGAGTACTGGCTGCTCTCTCAGAGGACCCAGGTTCAATTCTCAGCACCCACGTGGTAGCTTATAACTGTTTGAAACTTCAGTTCCAGGGGGTACAACATCCTCACACAAATATATATGCAGGCAAAACATCAATGCGATACAATAAAAATAAATCAATTATAAACAATTCACTAAGGCTACAGCAGATTTCAACATTGCTGCCCAACCTCATTAGCTTTTTATTGCCATAACAAAAACCTGAGGCAATACATTTATAAAGAGAAAAGTTGTATTTCAGCTCACAGTATTTGAGGATTCAGTCCATGGTTGTTGACCTTATTGTTTGCAGGACTTGGGAGGCAGCAAGTCCTGCAAGTCCTCGTGGAAAGAAGGTGACATAGTGAATGTCTTGCACATGAAAAGTGAAGAGGCATGCAGTCCCTTTAAGGACAAGCATATTATAAACCGAAGGTGTGCTTGGTCATACCTCTTAAAAGTTCTATTGCCTCCCTGTAGTGCCAAACTGGGAACAGATGAGCCTTTGAGAGACTTTTCACATCCAAACTATGACAATGACTTTTTTTTTTTAAGTTCAGGTACTATGAGACAAGACCACTGTAAGAGTCCCTGTTGGTGACTATGACAAGTTATACTATCAGTGTGTCTACCAGGAAGATGTTTCTGGAAAATTGCATAGGTGAGATAGGAATTTTAAAAGGAAAATAATGATGATATTATAACGGCTTGTTAAATAATGGAATGGAATGGATGAAAAAAGGCTCAATTCCCGTTCTATGTAGAAATTTCTCTGCGTGCTGTATTATGCATGTGGAAGTACAGATTTGGTTTTGCTTGCTGATACAGAGTGACAGTCAAGAAGGTCACTAGTAGGGATTTTTCTTTCCTCATGCCAACCTACTCATAACAATTTCTCCTCACCCAAACTCCACCTAGTAAGATGTTGTTTTATGGTTATGATTTATGAATTTGATGTGAGTGTTCCACCATTAGGTGAAGTGGAAAACAGATGATTTTGTGACTCAGTAAAGAATAATTCATCTGTTGATGGTGCCTTTTCTGTTTAGAGTCTTGAATTTCAAATGTTGAAATAACTTGTGTAGAATTTCCATCCTATTGCTGTGACTGTGCTTACACCCATTGCTAATTGTACACACACACACACACACACACACACTCACACACACACACACACACACACTGCTGAGTTCTCAGATGCTTAGCTGTGGCTCTGCTCCCTATGTCACTTGATTATAGAGGGAGATCCTCTTTCTCCTTCTGTACTTTCTTGGGGTACTGTTAGGACTTTTTCTTATGCTTCCAAATGCTGAG